TTCAGTCATTTAATTTATTAGAATTTTTTTTCTTGCTCGGTTTAATCGTCACTGTGAACTTTTAATTATAATTTATATTAAAAGTCGTTTGAATGCAAAATTTGTTCCAATTTCTTTGTTTCTTTTTAAATAAAATTAAGTTTGCAATGCAAGTTTAAAACGTATGAAAGTTTTCAAATGTGTTATGCTTAAATATGTTTTCCTTGGAAGATATTTAAACAACTTTTTGAATAAACTTTCGACTAAACTAACAATAATTGTCCTTCGTTTTCACTTCGAAAATGGTAACTCAATTATCCGCTGAAATACTCTTAATTTTCGTGTTTATTTTACAAAAAAATACAAAATACTCCCAGCAAATAATAATGCATATTTTTGTCCTCTAATCAATACTAAAACATACCTACCTACAATTGTAGGTCATGAATAAACGACGAATTAAAAATAGAATGAACTGAAATTATATTCCACTCTTATTTAAAAAATTAGTAATGATAAATATTTACCTTCATTGCTCAAGAAACGTTTTACCACTTAGCTTGATCTTCCAAATGGTAATAATACATGCTTCAAATACATTTCACAATAACCAAATTACATCTACAGGTAGGAAAACTTCCATCTGCTTAATCCTTCAGAACGTTAAAATTTATTTTGCAAGATTTCCCGGTTTGTTTATTTCCTCTCTGGAGATGCTCATTTAGCAGTTTAGAGCTTCATTTCCTTTCAAATCAACCTCCGATTCACAAATATGGAACTTTTTTAGTTATTTTAATTTATTAAAAACAAAAAATTGTCTCTTTGTCGTTATTTTATTTAATCGATGAGACGCTAATTATTTCTAGTTATTTTCTCCACTATGGAGTAAAAAACTAACAAAGTTAAACAATCCAATAATCCCAAATCCCTATTGACCCATTTAAACCGTGCATGCAATTGGAAAAAGTGTCAAAAATTTGTGCAAATTGGCCAAGTCGACGTAAAGCTAAACCTAGTTAAAACTCCGGTGAGGTGATCAATATGGGGTTTGCGCATGCTGGATGGTGACCCATCGGTGGCGGTTTGCCTCTAACACTTCCACTTCTTGCTTTCTTGGTCTTTGTAGTAGACGTTGTTGTTTTTTTCCGAAGATGACGTTTCGGGACTTTCCTCTTCTTAAAACACCGGACCTTTCTTGATGAGAAAAAAGTGCCCTTTTCTAAATCAATTTTATCTAAATGTTTTTAAGCCAATAAATCATTGTGATGCACGTTGAAAAAACGCACAAAATTATCTATTAAGGCCAGTTTGGACATTTGCTACATGACGTTTGAGACCTAGGTAAGTGAAAACGCGTTTCAGAGCAGCAATTTTTTCAAAATTTTTACAAGAGTTTAACTTTGATTATTTATTCATTCATAGAGCATCAAGCTATTTTTAAACTGTTCAACACTTCGATGAAGCTATCAGCGTCTATTCGTATCGATTCGATAAATAGAGCTCCAATATTTTAGTGTGAGTGTGGGTGTATAAAGAGAGATCTGAAAAATTTAAATCTTCTCATTTAACAATTTACCAACTCAAGGTTCGATCTAAAAATTAACAGTAAAACTAATGATTGTCTAATTATTTCAAAATAAAAACTTTCTCGATTGTTTCACATCATTTAACACGACATATTTCATTGACTTTACCTTTAACGTAATTTACAATTTAATTAAATTTCGTAAAATTAATAAATTATTATTGGACATAAACTATTTGTATTGCACGTGAGCAAACCTTATGATCTAAATTACATCACATGCTCGTGTTTAATAAATTTTAATCAAATGAGAGCAAAATTCAATAAAAAAACAATTTCAAAATTCAATTCAAAATTTTTGCAATTAAAAAAAAACATTTATTCTGTTTTTGTTGTGTCAATAAAAATGGGACTTATAGCTACTTTAGATAGTGGGTAATTAATTTTATTGGTTCATTTTTGAGTTCAAAATAAAATAAAAATTGATAACAGACCTGTCATTGCAGTTAGTTCTCATGTTTCTGCTTTGTGATTTCCAAGGACAAACAAGTGCTTAAAATGACTTAAAACTGAAAGTGAAATTTCTCTTAGTTTGTTTAAATACCAAAAATTGTGGAAAAAATCCACAACAACAACAATTAAAAAATCCCCTCTTTTACGAATAGCGTTTCATGTGTTATCTAATAATTCCTGTATTGTGCGGTTTATTTTCATTCGAATCGTGAAAGGCTAGTCAGCCGCCTCGAGTGCCAGATTTAGTGCCTATATATTTTTAATCGGAGTGTCGGTAAGTCGCACGTGCTGTAAAATTTCTAATCAAATAAAAAAAATTATAAAAATATTTGCCCGATCAAATAATGGAATTGAGATAAGGTTTGTTGACTGAATTCTCTCGATTGAAAAATCCATCAATTAGCCCAATTGGGCCGATTACGGTTATTTTCCAGCACAGGAAACGTCTTAATGAGATAATTGGGTACTTTCCCGGCTATGTACAGAGTGTCCAGTTGAAAATTTTCCACTTGCCTTATCTCTCCGATTTCGTAGACAGTGCGGTGCTGAATTTTCTGACTTTTTCCAGACGTTATGGACCTGCGACAGGACGATGAAGCCTCCAAGGATCCAGCGGTGGAGAAAGCCGTGTTGTCCTTCGACGAGGATGACTTTGAAGGTATTGTCCTGGAAACAATGGGAAATTATGTCGAGGTTTTCGTTTTTCGAGTAAAAACCAGTTCGCGCGAGTATATACAAGGGTGTTCAAAACGTGTTCAGAAAAAATAAACAACAACATTTACATAAATGCATAATTAATGATGGCACGTGGAAGAAATGGAATTTTATTGTAATAATTGAAATGTAAATGAGACGTAAATGTCAGATTGAGTCTTGTCTGGAAATGGCAAGAGTTGAGTTTTGAGTTAATTGCCGTTCTTTTTTTTAATTTTTGAAAAAAAATTACATCAATTACAAAATAATAAATTATTATTTTTCGAATAAAACAATGTTTTTGTCATCAAAAAAACGGACAATTTCTTGCTCAAAAAATTCTACAGTAACTCGTCTTATGGTCCATTAAACTCCTTTAATTTAATGGCTGACTTATTAATATTTGACGATAAATAAGAGTTATTATTAACTAAAAACTGTAGTCAAATTCTATCGGATTCGAAAATGTTTTGGTGTCAAAGAAAAACAATTAAAAAAACAACTGAAGGTTTTTCAAAATATCTACAAAAAAAGTTCCGTAAACTGCATAAAATTGAAATTTGGTCAGTCGATTAGAATCTGGAAAAATATGATTTCCAAAGACAGTTGAAAAGACTAAAAAACTACACAGAAAAACAGCTCAAGGAGAAATTTCCAGTTTAAAAAAAGTTCTGTAAAATATCAAGCTGCAAAAGACTTTTTCTAAAAAATAAATACTTGAATTTAAAGCAATGTTTGGAATAACCGGAAGCACCAAACTTGCAATCAAAAAATTTTTGAATTAAAAAAATATCAACCAAAAATTTTTTAGACTTGCAACGAAATTCAAACAATCTTAAACACTTCACTATAATTCAGCATTTTCATCCAGTTTATTAATTAATTTTTTACATGTGAGAAATTAATCATTTAAAAAAAAGGCTTAGAAAATGATTACAAAAACAGTTGAAGAGACTAAAAAATTTCATATGAAACCCAGCTCTAGAAAAATTCAGTGTAGACTTTACAAAATATCGAACTGCAAAAGACAGTTGGGTAACTAAAAAATATCCACTTCTTGAATTCTAAGAAATGTCAGTAGAAACTCTTCAAAATGTAAAAAAATTGGGATAACTAAAAACACAAAACTTGCAACAAAATTATCGAGAAATTTTCGAATAAAAAAATCGGTACAGATTTTACAAAACAATGTTGAGGAGCCTAAAAAAACTATTCACAAATTTCAATAAAAAAATCTAGTAATTCGGTTAATTAATGCATTTGGTAATTAATTTTTCACAGAAAAGAGAAATGAATGTTGTATCTTTTTTCTGTCATTTTTCAGCTTGTAAGTGAAAAATTGGTCGAGTTGTTGCTAGGAAATGCCAAAAAATTGCGGTAATTGGCCAATTTCAGGCGATTAACAAGAACAAAGCTGATGCGACTTCCGTAATAGTGACACAGTTTAAACATTTCGCACAAATTGCAAACAAAAACTGAAATTATTTATTCCAGAATTCAACCTGATAAAGGTTAAATTTAAAGCGCTTAGCTTTGAACGCAGCTTTTGACCGCTAATTAAATTATCTCTCTATTTTTAGTGTAGCAAAAAGATGACAAAATGTCATTCATCAAACACTTTGTCTTTGTGTCCTACCAATTCGATTACAAAAGGAATTTCATCAAGTTAATTGGCTTAAGCTCAAGAGCTTACCACCTTCAAAATTTCATGGAAATCTCTCCACTTGGTTTTTGTTAATTTTGTACCAGAAATAAAACTAACACGTATTGATAATGATAATTTAAATGTACAAACATTGATTATGTTATCTTGTCAGCTGATGAGTGCAGACAAACAACAAACGGAAACAAATACACGATTCTAGACGTAATTTTAATTAAAATTGATTTAATTTTTGGGGAAACTTGTCAAAAATGAGATAGATGCAGATTGAGCTAGTTTTGTTATCAGAGTTGTTTTTTATTATGTCTGACAATACGACAATAAAGTAATTTCTCAACAATTACAAAATAGAGTTTTTTATTGAAACAATAAAAGTAATAAAGATAACAACAAAAAACTCAAAAACTATTTGCAACAAACCCATTTCAGGTAAATTACCATCATTATCGCGTCCTGAGGATTACGGCCATAAAGTTAAAAATTCCTTAAAAAGTTGAAGAAATTCTGCAACAATTTACATTCAAGTGGCAGGATACGTTATCGATCTCAGTCTGTTTTTCTGACAAAAACACCCAAAGTTTTGCGAACAAACACTCAATCAAGTGTTTATCGGAATGGCACCGATCTTGTTTCTTCCAAACAATCAGTCATTTGTGCAGTTGAAATAATGAGAATTCTTTTATTAATAGAATTGATTTCATCACATTTTTTACTGCTCTAGGGACGTGTAAACTCGGTTGAAATTAAATTTATAGTTAGGAGGAGTTTCATTAAAACTAAGTTAATTTTGCCTCAAGTAGTTAATAGTTAAAATATAGTTCAGAAGCTGGATTTTCCTCACCGTTTCAGCAAAGAAGAAAATTCAGTTTCCTCGCTTGTTCGTTTCAAAAGATGAAATTACGAATAAAAAGTGCAAATTCTCAAATGTTGTGATTGGAAGCAATAAAATCTATCAAGGGAAAACTTATCTTCGAGCAACTTTTTTATCCTCATTAACTTCTCTTCCCGACTTTAATCTTTCATAATCCCATTTGAAAATTAATCAAACCGTTCATTATTTTTTCCCGCCGTGTTTTCATGAATAATGAAGCCTTAAACACCGTTAAAAGCCATATAACAAAATTACTCCAGTAATATTTGTATGCTTGGCATTTTTTCATAACACAACGAGATGAAATCCAGACGGAAAAATTCTTCAGTTCGTAATATTAAAATATCTGCAGGGTGAGCACAACCCGTTCTGTAATTTTATTTACCACCCAGGGCCTCGAAACGGATCAAAGGAAATAACATCGGAGTAAAAATTTGTTAGCTTGAGTGAAATGTGATTGACAGGGACCACAAAACATCGATAATTCACGACCCGTCGAGGGATTTTCCTGAAGGAAATTAAATTCAGCGCATTTCGCATTTAATATTTCTCCGAGATTCTCGAGTGTTTTTAACAAAATATAACATTTATTGCTCGGAAAATATGAAAATGGACCAAATAAAAAACGAGAACGAGAAACGAGAGAAAAAGTGTTGAAAAGAAAAAAACTAGTTTTTTAACTCTTTAACTTAATTATTCAAAAATTCTCATAGAAAAACTAGTATAGAATCTAAAATATAGAAGAAAATTTTTTTTCTAGTTTATTGTACAACACATACAAAATCCAATTTTAGGATAAAAGAAAATAAAAAAAAATACATGAGAATAAAAATAGTTTAAACAAAAAGTAAGAAATTTTAATGTGCAACATTAAACTACAAAAAGCAAAAAAATAAATAAAAAGTTATAATAGTACAATGATAGTACGTTTATACAGGGTGTTCTGGATAAATTCCACATTATAAATATTGATGCAATAATTTCTGAAAATGATGAGTTAATAATATGCAATAAAAATATTTTTAAAATGACAATACTTCCGGTTATAACGGAAGTGTGTATCAACTCCGTTATTTTAAATAAAATATAAGTCTTTTATTGCGTTTTTAGATTACTCAAGTGTTTTTATCAGTCTCCCCTATAGCTAAGTTTAACCGTTTTCAAGATATTTTAATTTTTTTTTTTTTTTGGATTTGCACCTTCCTATTCAAAAATCGATAATTATTTTGAAATCGTATTTCGGTATATAAAGCAGATGTATTCATAATTGAGAAAATAATTAACAAACCCCCAAAATTTGAAGTAACGTTAGGGAAACTTCAGATACCCATAACCCAATTTTTCTAAATAAAATTCCCCAATTTATTTTTACTAAATAGAGGAGAATTTAATTCTTCATCAAACTGCATCAATATTCCCTTTACCTATGTTAATAGTTTTCAAGTTATAGTAACTTTTTTGATTTTGTGGAAGAGAAATGAACAGAAAAAAATTAAAAAATACCTAATTGATTTTTTCATTTGTGATTAGAAGCAATAGCAATTTTAAAAACAGCTTTTTCAGTTAATTAATTTATTTTTCAAAAATAGTATATTAAAGAACGCGTTTCGTAAGGCAAGTTTTGTGGAACGTGTTCAGTTTTTTTGAACATTTTTGAAGTGTCAAGTCTCGAATATTTTTCAAAATTTTGTTGAATTAAGCATGAATAATGCAAATATTTGATGCACACCACCTGAAATAAGAGAAATCGCTCAAAACACCGCTGAAAGTCGCCATTACCAACCTCTAGAAAATAAATTGTACTAGTCTATTTCAGCATCCAAATTGGTGTTGAAATGGCTCATTAAAGCATTGGTTTTGGTATCGAAATAAGCTCTCTTTCAGACGCAAAATAGAAAAATGGGTATTGTAATGGTGAAAATAACTCAAGTTATTTAAATTTGGTAACATTTTATTGTGGATTTTAAACATGGCATTAATAGATTATTAAAACTTGTCAGATGTTTCAATGTGAATATCAAGATTTTTTGATTTGTTGGAAGTGGAGGTTTAAGATATTTAATTTAAATTTAATTTTAATATGTAATTTTTTTTATTGTTGGAAGAATCGTTTAATAAACTAAAAAGTAATAAATAATAATTACATATCTCTTAGTTTAAAATCTTCCAAAAATAAACAAAATTTTCAAATGAATAAAAGAGTAAAAGAATAAAAACAAGGTTCGTAGCGTNTAATTATATTTTAGTGTAAAAGATTCCAAAAAAGAAAACAAAATTTTCAAGGGATTTTCAAATAAGTAAAAGAATATAAACAAGGTCCGTAGCGTAGGTAGAAAATTTTGCAAAAATCGATAAAACAAATTGTCAATAACATAAAAATCTGAAAGAATATAAACAAAATATGCTGTTCCTTTTTCTTTTTCTTTTCTTTTTCTTCTTTTATTCTACTTCTTAACAGAAACATTTTTTTGTTTTTTTTTTAAATTATATTATAACTGGTTTTGGTATCGAAATAAGCTTTTTTCAGACGCAAAATAGAAAAATGGGTATTGAATGGTGAAAATAACTCAAGTTATTTCGGTTTAAAATTTAAACTTGCCAACATTTTGTTTAATTTAAAGAGTTGTGGATTTTATAAATAGCACTGATAGATTATTAAAACTTGTCAAATGTTTCAATGTGAATATCAAGATTTTCCGATTTGTTGGATGTGGAAGTTTAAGATATTTTTAATTTTAAGTAAATTTTTTTTGATTGTTGGAAGAATCGTTTAATAAACTAGAAAGTAATAAGTCATAATTACATATCTCTTAGTTTAAAATCTTCCAAAAATAAACAAAATTTTCAAATGAATAAAAGAGTAAAAGAATAAAAACAAGGTTCGTAGCGTAGGAAGTCGTATGTAAAATCGTAAAAAAAAATCTCAATAACATAAAAATCTAAAAAAATAAAGTCATTTTTCTTCGTTTATTTTACTTCTTGACAGAAACAATTTTTTTTTTAATTATGTTAAAACTAGATTTTTGTGTTGTCACCCTCTCGACCTACTTTTAGATACGCCCCTGCCCCAAACAGTATTTAATGCATTTAGCGGTTTGAAACATTGATTTTTTCTTCGAGAACCGTCGAAAGTCTTCTCTAACCACGTGCTAAATTCTAGCCATGTAAACCTAAAGTTGACATCCCAATTTTGCCTCAAACTGAATTAAATCGTACAATAAAACGAATTTGACGTCAATAAAGAACTCTCCATCGATCGCGGAGATTGTGTAGAGTGCTATAAATCTCGCTTTATTACCAATTCAATTTGTGCCATTAAGGTAATCTTGTTAGTGTCTAAAGAGACGAAATGTTTGTAGGTCATCGGGCACACAGCGTTTTCGTGGGAGTTCACGTCCCGGGCGAGCGAAAACACTCCCACAGACGGCATAGACACCATCACCGAGACTCCTTCTCCGACCCCACCGCACAAGACAGGCCCAGTAAGTGTTTTTTTTTTCCTTAAATTTTGGTAATATTTTAGTTTAGGCACCCCGCCGTCGCAACGCGTCCAATTCATCCTCGGCGAAGACGTCGACGATGAGAAACACGAGAGCCACCCCCTCTTCTCCGAGATGGAGGAGTTGGTCACCGAGGGCGGCGACATGGAGTGGAAGGAAACAGCTCGTTGGATCAAATTCGAGGAAAACGTCGAAGAGGGTGGCAATCGCTGGTCGAAACCCCACGTGGCCACCCTCTCCTTGCACTCGCTTTTCGAGCTGCGCAGCCTCATCCTCAACGGGACTATCCTCCTGGACCTGGAGGCCACCTCCATGGAGCAGATCGCGGACTTGGTGCTCGACAATATGATCAACAGTGGGGTGCTCACCAACGACAAGAGGGATCGAGTCAAGGAGGCTTTGTTGAAACGCCATAGACACCAGCACCAACGCAAAGACCACGTCTTGCCTCTGATTCGCTCCTTCGCCGAGATGAGGAACCACTCGACGTCGAAAAGTAAGTTGTTTTAGTGGTCTAGCCAGCTGTGATCGATTTTCGTGTTGTTTAGGGTTGTAAGGTCACAAAATTAAAATTTCAGGAGGATGTGTTAATTTAGTGTGTCTTACGAGGAAGGAGACGAGAAAAAAAGACTTGATTCCAGGTTAGGTAATTATTTGAGCTTCTTGGTGGCGGGTCTTGTGCCATAACACTCATCATTCATTTGCTAATCTTGTTAGTTGTAACTATTTGTGCTCTTCACAGCTGAATATACTACACACGTGCAAGGATTCACCACGTGGTTTACCTTACATCATCCTGCCAAAGGTTAGAAACAGGATGTCTTCGATGTGTGTGCTCTCTAAGACATATTCTTGCACTTCAACATTCTCTATTAGCACGATCAATGCCTAATTCTAAATCTGTTTAATTTTTCTCCACTTTATGTGGCAAATGCTGCTTTCTCAAATATTGGTTCCTCTTTTGTACTTTCAGTCGAAGAGCACACCTTCGGCGAACACACCACAGAACGATTTCTCACTGTGCCTGGACAGGGTAAACAATCAACAACATTGTTTTACCACCCTTTTTGTACAGTAGACGAGTAGCATGTGCGTGCATGTCGTTGTCCAAACCTCAAATATGCTAAGAAAATTATAATTGCAAAAATTTATTTATGGATTTTTCTTCACATATTTGAGTCAGTATTAACGCTTGTTTTGCTTATTTGCCGTTTTACGTGTGTAAATACAATCAATTCGAGACAAACGAGAAACGTGACCACGTAAAAAACTGCTTATTTTTCCACTCGACAAAAACTGTCATCAAATAAATAGTAGTCGAGCGTCTGATAAACAACTTTACTTCATTAAATCATAATTCACAACATAGGACACAACACACAAAGACATTAATCAACTTGACATCAAACTAGGCGTTCAAACACCGAAAATTAATAGGAGAGCTAACAAAACGACTTTGATTTTTTACTTTTTTACTTACTACATACTCTGAAACAGACTACATAACAAATTCAAACGGCAAAAGTGGGGTCGTTTTATGCTAAAAACTTCGGTCCTAGGTCAAAACGGCCTATACAGGCGCAGTTCTCGAAACATTCTACATACAATACAAATTTTTTATAAAAATCAGCGAGAAAATGACTCTTGTGGATATAAATAAAAAACTTCTTTACTACCCGAAATATTGCGTTTTTTTTTTGAGACCCTGTAACAATTTTTATACACATAAACTTCTCAGATTTGGCCTACAGTTTCACCAAAATTGATAAAATTTAAAAAAGGCAAAATTTTCAGAGTTTGAATAACTATTTCGTTCTCTTTTTAATCGAGATTTAAAACATGTCTCCGGTCTGTGTAGGTAATAAATTACAAAACGTATCCTGAGCAAAAAACCGACAACATGGTGCTATTATAGACGCTTGGTGATGTAATTAAAACACAATTACGTTTTTAAAATCGAGGGCCTATCATAGCAGTAATTGATTTTAATTTCGGGTATTTTTGTCGCTTTGCTGCGAGATAAAGATAGAAAATCGGTGATTACGGGGACTGCAAAACAGCATTTTCATTTGCGGGATTTTTTTCAGTGACTTGTTTATTTTTAGAAAAAATTATTTAACAGTAGTAATGTCACCAAAAGATGTCAATTAACAATTGTAAAGAGAGCGCTAAAAATTGGATAGTGAGTCGTGAGTTAATCAAAAGTGATATAGTTATTTATCATACGTACTCGTATGTATAAGACGATAAAGAAATTGTTTATCTACGAGTGAAAAGGTTAAGATTACGAGTGACGAAGTCACGGGTGGGCTTTTTTCACGAGTAAAACAATCCTTTGTTTTATTTTGTACTTACCTTCCAGAATTTCTTGGTCAAAGTAGAATATAAACAGTAGATAAAAAATACTTTATTTCACTAAACAATAAATGATTACTTTATCTTCTGAAATTAGTTGATAAAAACACTCTTTACCATTGAATACAAAATAAAAGTAATTATTGCATTTTTGTTTTCAGGGCACAAACATTTTCAATTTGACACAACATTTAAAAAGTTGCTATACAAAAGTCTGTCTTTGTCACACTTTAACAACGTAAATAAGTTTGTGTCTTTACAATTTTGATAAAAAATGCAATTTCATTATTAAAAAGTAAAATTTTTTTAAAAATATCGTTTATTGAACGGCGAAAACGCAGTCATTTTATGCCAAAAAAATATTGTTCCTAGGTCAAAACGGCTTATATAGGCACATTTCTCAAATCATTTTTCATAAAATGCAAATTTTTCATAAAATTCAAGATAAAAATCAGCGAAAAAATCGCTGGTATGGATATAAATACAAAACTTTTTCACTACCCAGAATATTCAGCCTTTTTTGACAACCCGTAACAATTCACACGCACATAAATATTTCCGATGTGCCCAACAGTTTTGCCAAAATTGAGAGAATTTAAAAAAAGAGTTTCAAAACCACTAAATATTTCATTTAAAAATGAAAAAAACTACAAAAAAGTTCCTGTTGTTGTCGTTTGCATTATTTTTAAATAGGAATAGGCTTCGTTTATAATGTGAAATCATAAGAAAAATCAGCTTTGTCTTAAAAAATCCTAAATTGATTCAAAAAAAATCGTAAAATCAGTTTTTGAATCATTTAATCTAGATTATACTTCAAGAAGAAACGATCATATTAAAAAAAATCTTAAATGCAAAAAATGTGTTGTTTTACTTATTTTGTTGACTTTCTATCATTTTTTAACGATAATCGCCTTTGTTTTAAGTAAATTGTATTAAATTAATGCAATGCAAAAAAGGACAAACTGACTTATTTTTTTAAGAAAAATTGCTCTTATTTAAAAAGAGTAATTTGCTGAATTAATATTAGAAATTGCAGTCATTTTATGTCAAAAAATATCGCTCCTACATCAAAACGGTTTATACAGGGTGCGCCAGAACTCGCGCCCCAGAGAAATAAGGTAAGATGCCAGGAACATGGAAAAAATGTTAAAAAAATTTTATCTATAAAAATTTCGAAGTTATGAGGGTTTAAAGTTTGCACTTTGACTCTATTTATTTCTGTTGGAAAAATAATTTTCCAAGTTTTTTGCTCTAGGCTATTAAAAGAGAAAACAAGGAAGCTGTATACTAAATTGTAACTCTGTTCAATGTTATTTGTGGCTTTTATTGGCAAAATTTTTGTCCCTTTACTAAATAATTGTAAAAAAACATATACAAAATCATCAGTATCATTAAATAGATATAAAAAAATGTCAAATGTCAAAAAATAAATGTCAAAATTTTTTGACAGATAGAATTTTTTAAACATTTTTTTCATGTTCCTGGTATCTTAACTTACTTGAAAATNGTCAAAAAATAAATGTCAAAATTTTTTGACAGATAGAATTTTTTAAACATTTTTTTCATGTTCCTGGTATCTTAACTTACTTGAAAATTTTCTCTGGGGCGCGAGTTCTGGCGCACCCTGTATAGGCACATTTCTCAAATCATTTTTCATAAAATGCAAATTTTTTATAAAATTCAAGAAAAAAATCAGCGTAAAAATCGCAGGTATGGATATAAATACAAAACTTTTTTACTACCCAGAATATTCAGCGTTTTTTGACCACCAGTAACAATTCTCAAGCACATAAATATTTCCGATGTGCCCAACAGTTTTGCCAAACTTGAGAGAATTTAAAAAAAGAGTTTCAAAATCACTAAATATTTCGTTCTTTTTTCAATCGAGAGTCAAAACATGCATCCGGATCGTATAGGAAAAAAATTAGAAAACGTATCCTAAGCAAAAAACCGACAACATGGTGCTATTATAGACGCTTGGTCATGTGGTTAAAACACAATTATGTTTTTAAAATCGAGGGGCTGTTATAGCAGTAGTTAATTTTAATTTCGGGTATTTCTGTCGCTTCGCTGCGAGACAAAGATAGCAAATTGGTGATCACGGGGACTGCAAATAGTATTTTCATTGGTTGAAATTTTTCAGAGATTTCCTGATTAAAAAAAAATTGACAGTTGTAATGTTATCAAAAAATGTCAATTAAAAATTGTAAAGCGATAGTTAGTCGTGAATTAATCAAGAGTGCATTTTTGTTTTCCAAGCACAAACATTTTTTAATTTACCACTAAAAAAATTACTGTACAAAACGTCTGTCTTTGTCGCACTTTAACAAAATGTCTTGGTCTTTGAAATTTTGATAAAAAATACACAAATACACAAACTCACCCTCTCATGTCGCTGCTTTTTTTGTGTTTTCACCCTTCGTGCACGGCGTCCGCCACTAACCCCCTCCATGTGTAGGCTCAATGGACAAGCCTCGCATCCTCAAGAGCGCCAGCAACGTCTCCATGAACCGCAATTACAGCACCAGCGATCTGGGCTCCATGAACGGCGACATCCACCAACACAACCTCCACTTCATGCGGAAGATCCCCCCAGGTGCAGAAGCCAGCAATATTCTCGTCGGCGAAGTCGACTTCATCGACAAGACCCTCTCGGTGTTCATCCGCTTGAATTCGGCGGTGAATCTGGGCGATTTGACGGAAGTCCCGGTCCCGACGAGGTTCCTCTTCGTGCTTTTAGCCCCGGTGTCGGCCTCCACCGGGTACCACGAGATCGGGCGCGCCATGGCGACGCTCATGTCCGATGAAATCTTCCACGAAGTGGCTTACAGGGCGCGGAACACGAGTCACCTTTTGGCCGGAATCGACGAGTTTCTCGACGCTGTGACCGTTCTACCTCCTGGGGAGTGGGACCCTGCGATTCGGATCGAGCCCCCGGCGGCTATCCCCTCACAAGACTTGCGGAAGCGCCCCCCGGAAAAGCACCCGGAGGAGCCCGACGAAGAGGAAGAAGAGCAGAGAATCCGGGAAGAGTCGGGCCTCGCCCGGAGCGGAGTCCTCTTCGGGGGTCTCATCAATGACGTCAAACGCAAACTACCCTTCTATTGGTCGGATTTCAAGGACGCTTTTGCCACCCAATGCATAGCCTCCTGGATTTTCCTCTACTTTGCTTGTTTATCCCCGATTATCACATTCGGGGGGCTGTTGGCGCAAGCCACGGGGGGGAATATGGCCGCCATGGAGTCGCTCGTCTCCGGGTTTGTGTGTGGGATGGGTTATGGGTTCTTTTCAGGTCAACCGTTGACCATTTTGGGGTCCACTGGACCGGTGCTAGTGTTTGAGACTATAGTTTACGATTTTTGCTTGTCGGTGGGGTGGGACTATCTCTCGTTCAGGTTCTGGATCGGGACTTGGACCGCGATTATTTTGCTTATTTTGGTGGCTATCGATGCGAGTGCACTTGTCTGCTACATTACTAGGTTTACGGAAGAGAATTTCGCCACGTTGATTGCCTTTATTTTTATTTATAAGGTGAGTGGGAGGTTTATGCTAGTTTGGGGTACATGGGGTGTTTCAGGCCGTGGAAAATGTGGTGCTTATTGGGAAAAACTTCCCTCTCAATACCAGTGGAAATAGGGTTTTGGAATATAATTGCTCGTGCACCGCCAATCAGAGCGTTGTTATGAGAGACCCCTATTGGGGCAATTGGAGTACACCGAGCAAAAATTACTGTGAGGTAAGAAAACACAAAAAATAATGAAAACAAAGTACAAAAAAGCTCCTGTTGTCGTTTGCATTATTTTTAAATAGGAATAGACTTCGTTTATAATGTGAGATCATAAAAAAATCAGCTTTGTCTTAAAAAATCCTAAATTGATTCCAAAGAATCGTAAAATCAGTTTTTGTTTCATTTAATTTAGATTATACTCCAAGAAACGATCATATTAAAAAAAAATGTTACTTAAATGCAAAGAATGTGTTGTTTTACTTGTTTTGTTGACTTTCTATCATTTTTTAACGAGAATCGGCTTTGTTTTAAGTAAATTGTATTAAATTAATGCAATGCAAAAAAGGAAAAACTGGCTTTTTTTTTTAAGAAAAATTGCTCTTATTTAAAAAGAGTGATTTGCTGAATTAATATTAGAAACTGCAAAAGTAGGTTCAAAATCACATAATCAAGGGTATTTCAACCAATTTTCTAACAAAACTTGGCTTTACTTTGAAAATTATTTGAGTTAATGAAAAAAATTGTAAAAATGACATTCTAATAAGTCGTAAATTAGTTTTTTTTTGAATGAGATTAAAAAATCTAAAAAATATTGTAAAATCAAGCTCTTAAAATGTGTTGTTTTCAATTGTTTTGTTTAATTTCAATCATTTTTGAATAAAATTAGATTTATCTCAAGAAAAATGAATTAAAATAATGCAAATATCGCAAAAACTGACTTTGAAGTTGGTGTAATAATAATATTAATATAATTTATTTTCCAACATGTGTTTATCTTACCGTTTTATATTTTAAAGTATTTTTTGATTTGATAGGAATCGCTTCTATTTTAAGATATTAAATCAACAAATCGTGTTATTTCAATTTTTCAACTTGTTTTCACAAAACTTCGCTCAAAAACGACCTAAATCGAGCAAAACAAGCCAAAACAACGTCGATTTCGATATAATTTACTTTTTTGTCCAGTTTTGACAAAATCCCACAAAAATCTAATATGTTATTACAAAAATATATCCAAATCGGCAAAAAAGACAAAACAAATAACGTCTTGACTTAATTTAGTCATTTTTGAGCTTATACTTGGACAAAATTTTGCACAAAAGTGCGCTTCTAGCTAAAAACAAACTAAATCGAGCAAAAAAAAAACAGAAAAATTAATTGTTTAATTCAATTTTTTGGTTGTTTTTACAAAATTTTGCAAAATAAGTGAGTGTCTAGTTCAGAAACAAGATAAGTCAAGCCAAGCAGACCAAAATAACTTTAATTTTATTTAAATTTAGTAATTTTTCAGTTTGTTATGGCAAAATCTAAAAAAAAACTTGAGTTTTTAACTTAAAAACGCGCTGTTACACTACAAAAAAGCGCAACAAAACAACGTCATTTTCGAATTAATTTGGTAATTTTCGGCTTGTTCTAACACAGTTTTGCAAAAACTTGGCACTTGAAAAAAGCAAAGCAATGTTTCGAGAAAATCTCGTTCAAAAATGAACTAATCAAACCATCTAAAATAACGTCAATGTTGATATAACATAATAATTTTTCGGCTGGTTTTGACAAAATTTCGCAAAAAAAAGTTTTATTTGAAAAACTTGCTCAAATAATGCTCGGAAGAGCCAAAATAAAAATGAAAATTTGGTGATTTTTGGCTTGTTTAGGCCAGATTTTGTAAAAAGTGCGTTTATAGCAAAGAAACAAACAAAATCCAGCAAGAGACCAAAAAAACTAAGAGCATATTTTTAATCAAATTTCATGAAATTTTAGTTTGTTTTGACAAAATCTTACAAAACAAAGTAAATCAACAAAGCAAGCCAAAATAACTTCAGTGGCGATCTAATTTAGCAATTTTCTTGGCATGTATTAGAAAAAAACGAGATTTGGCTTAAAAAACTTGCTTTTTTGGCTTACTAAGGCAAAACTTGAACAAAAAGTGCGTTTATGTCAAAAAAACAAACTAAATCGGTTAAGAAAAACTAAAACAAATATACAGAGTGTTCCGTCTAAATCCCACTTTAGAAGTATTGGGAGTTGCAATAATCGTATTTATTTGAAAATTGGTACATAGCCATAAACGGCGGCACTTCCGCTTATACCGGAAGTCGGTCTCAACATTCTTATTTTAAATGGAGTTTTTCAAAAATTTTTGAATTTGCACCTTTCACTTTAAAAACCGGTAACTCTGCTATTTTTTTAAATTTTGAATTTGTTTTTTTGGCGTTTGAAAGAGAAAGTTTAGATCTTTCTTTCGGTGTTTTCAAATTTTGAAAAAAATTAACAAACCATAAAATTTTAAGGTTACGTTTGTAATAATTCAAATACCCATAACTCAATTTTTTCAAATGAAATGCCCCAATTTTTATTTTACTAAATGGAAGAAAATTTAATTTTGCATCGTTCTGTATTAACATTCTCTATACCAAAATTTAATAATTTCTAAGTTATGGTGATTTTTTGTTAAGACTGCCGAAAATCCGAAAATAATAATTAAGTTTGCATAACTTTGATATTTTGGCACTATTTGTCAAATAGTAATTTACTGACGTTTGTTTAGAGGAAATTTTCACATTTTTGATTTCCATAGCAAAACGGGTGTGGCTAGTAATAAATTTTCTGTAGTTTTAAGAAAAGTCCATAATTTGAAAATTATTAAATTTAGGTATAGGGAATGTTAATACAGATCAATGCACAATTAAATTCTCTTCTTTTTAGTAAAATAAAAATTGGGGTATTTTATTTGAAAAAATTGAGTTATGAGTATTTGAATTATTACAAAAGTAACCTTAAAATTTTGGGACATGTTATATTTTCTTTTAAAATTGGTAAACACCAGAAAAAGGATCTAAGCTTTCTCTTTCAAACGTCAAAAAAAACGAATTTAAAATCTTAAAAAATGGCAGAGTTACCGATTTTTAAAGTGGAAGGTGCAAATCCAAAGTTTTTGAAAACTTCAAATATTTCAAAAACGGCTAAATTTAGGTATAGGGAAAGCTGATGAAAACTCCCTTAAAATAACCCGATTAATCCAAAAACGCAGTAAAAAATATACCTTTCCATTTAAAATAAGAAAGTTAAGACCGACTTCCGGTATAACCGGAAGTGCCGCCATCTTGAAAATATTTTCATTTAGGAGGACTTAATGGTTTATGGCTATGTACCAATTTTCAATAAATACAATTATTCCAACTCCCAATAGTTCTAAAGTGGGGTTTAGACGGAACAGCCTGTATAAGCCTAATCAAACAAACCAAAATAACGTCAATTTCAATATAATTAGATTTTTAGTAAGGTTTTTTTTGTGATATTGTACTTTTTTAGAAAAGTTTAGAAAAATTGAACAATAAAAAACATTTTGGTGCTTCCCCAGATCGCGAACGGCACCTTGGACGGCCCCGGCTGTGAAACCCCCTCTTACGTCCCCGACGTATTCCTCATGTCAATTATACTCTTTTTGGGAACGTTCCTCCTCTCCATCGAACTGAAAGACTTCAAGAACGCTCTCTTCTTCCCGTCAAAAGTCCGTCAATTCATCAGCGACTTCGCCGTCATCATCGCCATCCTCTCCATGAGTCTCATCGACTGGAAAGTGGGCGTCCCCACCCCGAAACTCGAAGTCCCCCACGACTTCAAACCGACACTCCCCACCCGCGGCTGGCTCATCGGCCCCTTCAACGGCAATCCCGTCTACTCGGTGTTCCTCGCCATCCCGCCAGCCCTCCTCGGCACCATCCTCATCTTCATGGACCAGCAGATCACCAGCGTGATCGTCAATCGCAAAGAGCACAAACTGAAGAAGAAGTGCGGCTACCACTTGGACCTCTTCGTCTTGGCCATCCTCATCCAGGTGTGCTCCGTGATGGGGCTGCCGTGGTTCGTCGCTGCGACGGTCCTCTCCATCAACCACGTCAACTCGTTGAAGTTGGAGAGCGAGTGCTCAGCGCCGGGGGAGAAGCCCCAGTTTCTGGGGGTGCGCGAGCAGAGGGTCACCCACATCCTCATCTTCCTGACGATTGGGCTGTCGGTGTTTCTCACGCCGATTCTGGGGCATATCCCCATGCCGGTCCTGTTTGGGGTCTTCCTCTACATGGGGATCGCCTCCTTGAAGGGGCTGCAGTTCTTCGACAGGATTTTAATCATGCTTATGCCCAACAAGTACCAACCCGATTACATGTTCCTGAGACAGGTCTTTAAACTTACTAAATTTGTATTTTTTTTGACAAAAATCTTGTTAGGTGCCAATAAAACGTGTCCACCTCTTCACCCTCATCCAGCTCGCCTGTTTGGCTTGTCTCTGGACCATCAAGTCCTTCAGCACCACCTCGATCTTGTTCCCCTTGATGCTGGTGGTGATGATCGGGATTAGGAAGTCGCTGGATTTGATCTTCACACGACGGGAATTGAAGATTTTAGACGATATAATGCCGGAAATGACGAAGCGAAACCAGATGCTTAAAGATGACGAGGTGGGGTGCGGGAAAAAGTTTGCACGGTTTATTTTAGGACCCAAGTTGGTTACGAACGAGTACCGGGAGAAAGATGGCGCTGATTGCGTTTTGAATAGCAAATTAGAAAATTGTTGATATTGAAGTCCGAAATTTTAGATATACGTAACTCAACTTAGGTGATAATCATTTCGGTTTATTTATTTCATTTTTGATCGATGATAAAATCACTCATTTTAGATGCATTCCACGCTTTGTCTGATTGTTATTGTTACTCACTGTATATTTATTTATAAGCAGTATTATTGTTTCAATAAATTATATGTTACGTTACCAGTTTTGTTTTTTTATTTAGTTTCACATTATTGTCATTTTTCGAGACAGCTTCGCCATCATCACACATTTGCATGTAAGTATTATGTTGATTTTTATGTCTTGAGCAATCATTCGACTTTAGGTTGACATTAAATACACAAACATTCCGCAAAGTATCTAAAAAACGAAATAAACTAAGCAAAAGAGACCAAAACTATTTTACTTTTTTCCACTTCCACTTACTTGAAACTTGAAAAATAATCAAATTTTGTAAAAAAAGTTTTAAAGAATGTGTTCAAACGCTCAAAAAAAGTAAATACTGTTACGTTACGACCATATTTTGGTAACATTTCAGCTTTCTGGGCCAAAATATTGCAAAAAATGTATTTGTGGCTGAAAAACGAATTAAATTGAGCAAAAGAACAAGATTCTTAAGCAAATTTGGTGATTTTTTTGATTGTTTTTATAAAATCTGTTTAGCTCAAGAAGTAACTTCAACTACAATCTAATTTAGCAATTTTCTTGGCAGGTTTTAGCGATCCAGCTAAAAAAAAAAAGAAAAATACCACACCACTCTATATTTTTAAATAAAATAACACACTATTCTCTATATTTTTGCCTTGTTCAAGTCCAATTTTACAAAAACCATAAATCTTGAAAAAAGGTCAAATCTCTTTTTTACAAAAACATGCTTAAACGCTCAAAAAATGCAAAAAATGCACAATTTCTTAATTATTTGGTAATTTTTTGCCGTGTTATGTCGAAATTTCGCTCAAAAAAGAAGATAAATCAAGCGAAACCATGCTCAAATACTCAAAATGCCAAAAATAACGTTTTTGCGACACCATTTGATAATTTTTCAGCTTATTTAGGCAAAACCTTGGCCAAAAGTGCGTTTCTAGCTGACAAACGAACAAAATCAAAAGAAAGTGACCAAAATAAAAATATCTTCAACATCATTTTGTGATTTTTCTGCTTATTTTGATGAAAGTTGTAAAGTTTGTTCAAAAAACAAGCTAAATCAAGCAAAATAAGGTCAGTTAATATAATTTGATAATTTTTTTGACCAATTTTAACAAAATCTCATAAAAAAACTGAGGTTTTATTGAAAAAACGTATCCAAACTTGTTTATTTACTTAAACGAAAAGTGAGTTTCTGATTAAAAACAAACTAAATCGATAAAAAGAGGAAAAAACATTTTTTTTACCAAATTTGGTAATTCTATTGTTTGTTTACACAAAATTTTGCAAAATGAATAAATGTCTGATTAAAAAACGACGTAAATCAAACAAAATAGACCAAAACAACGTCAATTGCGAACAAATTTAGTAATTTTTTGTTAGACTGACAAAATTTTGCAAAAATTAATTTGATCTCAAAAAAACCTCAAAGGCAAAAAAGACGACCTTATTTTAAAGATTTTACGGCTTGCTTTCGTAAAATGTAATCAAAAAAGTGCTGAAAAACAAACTAAATAGAGCAAAAAAAAACAAAATTATAGTTTCAACCAAATTTGGTAATTTTTTAGCTTATTTTGATAAAATTCAACTTGTATATTTCAAAAACGAAATAAATCAAGCAAAACACACCAAAATAACTTCAATTTCAATCTAATTTTGCAATTATTAAAAAAAGTTTTTATCACAAAAGTAAAAAATAACAGTAAGTATTTTTCATTTTTCTCGGTAAATAAATAACGAATTGAGACCAAATTTCAATCGTCAATTTTTAAACAAAAAAACTGAAATTGTCTCCAAAACGTGTTCTTCGACTTAATTACAAAATAATTTTTCGAGACAGAGGATCAATAAGTGAGTTACTTTAAGGAACTGAAACTACGAACAAAGGAAAAGTTTTATTACTAAAGTTTCAACGTTGTGCTCAAGTTTCACAATTTAAGATAAGGCGGAAACATGCCATGTCTTCTTGCAAGCAAATTTTCACAACATGTGTATAGACACCAAAAAGTTTCAAATCAATTTTAAGTTTCTTTTCAATACAAATGGTGGATGCGCCGGGTGAGCAACCTCCTGAAACTCATTCAATTATGTGTTTAGAACGGCTCTGAAAAAGGCCAGCTCGAGATTGAACCCGCCGGCAACCTGAAAATCCCCCTGGCAAACGGCAACGTCATGAACATTCCGCTCTCGGCCATCAATATATCGGAAGAAGTCAACAAAACCAGTATCTGGAAACAAGTCAACAAAAGCAACACGCGACCCACCGAAAAAGAAAAAAAGAAAAGTCCCATCGGATCCGGGTAACAAGCAAAAAATTATAACAAACAAAAAATCAAACATTTCTTGTAGTCGCTTCAAGAAAAAGAAGCAAAACAAACGAGACGATAAGCAGGAGAAAGCCAAACTGGAAAAACGGCTCTCGATAATGAACGAAGAAGAGGAAGATGATGGAATTACCATTAAGGTGACGGACACTTCTCTACACATTTAAACACAAACACGAGCACTTAACATTTACCCTCTTGCACGTAAATGTAAGTATGCACTAGCTGTTTCACACAAAATGTTCTAAGTCTAGGTAAAAATTGTTCATATTGTGATAGCGAGTAGTCAAATCTTGTTGCATGGATTTCTGTTTGACGTTGATTAAGAAAAATGCAAGTTTAATAAAGATTTCTTTGCATTCTTCTTAAATGTGGTAAACCTGCTTCTAAAAGAAAATAATTTCAGACTAACCTATTGCAGTGCGAACAGTTTAAAGATATGCCTAGGAAAGAGAGGAGGAAGAGCAAACAAGATTCCGACGAAACACATGTCTGAAGCAATAACACACTATATACACAGTGATGTAAATACATATTTAACTAGTTATTTCTGTTCTGAGGCTTCATTTACCAATCAGTGTTGCCAAAGTTTCATTGAGTGTATCCCGGGCTGTATTTTGGGAAACGACACAGTATTTTCTAACCATTAACTAAGTGTACATCATTAAATAAATGTTTAGTACAAAGCAAATGTCGTTTTTGCCCAAACCCATTTCAAATCTCCCGCCAATTCACCGCCACCATAGAACCAAAAAAAACTAAGTTTTCACCTCTAACTTACAATAAAATATAAAAAAAACACATTCTACTACACCTTGAGCTATGAATTATAAGAATCTCCATGTAGGTTAGCAAGAAATAGCAAGCTACATCTATTTTAGTGAATTCTATGGTCTTAAACCAAATCAATTCATCATCACCATAGAATTAAAAAACACTTGCAAAAACTAAATTCTAACTTCAATTTACAATAATAAAATACAAAATGCACCTTCTACTCTACCTGAAGCCTTCAGTATAAAAATCATTCCGTAGATTTGCAACTTAAACAAATCCTATTGTCGTAAAAATAAAAATCTCGCTACTTCAGGTGTTACTCTTTCTTTTTCTATGAATTCTGTGGTTGAGAACTTAACCCCACAAAGGTGGCATTGACAGGTTGACAATTCGGGCACATTTTAGTTAATTTCTTGCGAAAAACACGATGAATCTTTTACAACACATTAAAATTGCCAAAACTTTGTCAAATACCGCCCTCCAGTACTCGTCTCACATTCCCAAAGTACGTAAATTGTTCACTTTTCACCAAATTAGATCCTAACCTCAAAATTTTCAGCACGTCTTTAGTCGATCCAAAAGCGACTTTACTAAATATGCTGAGCACAAACCGATCGAAAAAATCCGAAATATTGGAATTTCGGCCCATATAGATTCGGGTAAAACGACCCTCACCGAGCGAATTCTGTATTATACCGGTCGAATTGAAACGATGCACGAAGTGAAGGGGAAAGACAACGTGGGGGCGATTATGGACTCGATGGAGCTTGAGCGTCAACGGGGGATAACAATCCAGTCTGCCGCCACGTACACACTATGGAAAGAGCACAATATCAACATAATTGATACTCCAGGTCATGTGGACTTTACTGTGGAAGTGGAGCGGGCTTTGCGGGTGTTGGATGGGGCTATTCTCGTGTTATGCGCAGTGGGGGGCGTCCAGAGCCAATCGTTGACTGTCAACCGGCAAATGAAACGCTACAATGTCCCCTGTTTGGCGTTTATCAACAAACTGGACCGTATGGGGGCCGACCCATACCGCGTTTTGGCCCAAATGAAGTCGAAAATGAACCACAATGCCGCCTTCATCCAACTCCCGATTGGGCTCGAGGGCGACTGCAAGGGGGTCATCGATTTGATCCAAAGAAAAGCGATTTATTTCGATGGCAATTTTGGGGACCAAATCCGAATTGAGGAAATCCCCAAAGACATGCGAACGGAAAGTGAGGAACGCAGACACGAACTCATCGAACACGTGTCCAACGTTGACGAGGTTTTGGGCGAAATGTACCTGGAAGAACGGCCGATTACAGAAAACGATATCAAGGGGGCTATAAGACGCAGTTGTTTGAAACGGAGCTTCACGCCGGTTTTGGTTGGGACGGCGTTGAAGAACAAAGGGGTGCAGCCCCTCCTCGACGCCGTGTTGGAATACCTCCCGAACCCCGGCGAAGTCCCGAATTACGCCCTGAGGGAGAAGGAAGGCTCAGAACCTGAGAAGGTTCTCCTGAACCCTGATCGCAACAACGAGAAAGGGTTCATCGCCTTGGCTTTTAAACTCGAAGCCGGAAGGTTCGGCCAATTGACGTACATGAGGTGCTATCAAGGGATGCTCAAAAAAGGGGACTCGATTTATAACGCAAGAACCCAGAGAAAAGTTCGCGTGTCACGGTTGGTACGCCTGCATTCGAATAACATGGAAGATGTGAACGAGGTGTACGCCGGGGATATTTTCGCCCTGTTTGGGGTGGATTGTGCCAGTGGAGACACTTTCGTCATTGACCCCAAAATGGGGCTTTCTCTTGAATCGATTTTCGTGCCTGAACCTGTAGTTTCCATGTCGATAAATCCAGCCAATAACAAGGATCGTGACAACTTTTCCAAAGCCATAGCGAGATTCACTAAAGAGGACCCAACTTTCCACTTCTTCTTCGACACTGATAATAAAGAGACTATTGTTTCCGGGATGGGGGAACTCCACTTGGAGATTTACGCCCAGAGGATGGAACGCGAGTATAATTGTCCCGTGGTTTTGGGCAAGCCCAAAGTGGCCTTCCGGGAGACCCTAGTCGCCCCATGCTCCTTCGACTACCTCCACAAGAAGCAATCAGGGGGCCAAGGCCAGTACGCGCGAGTCACCGGTGTGCTAGAACCATTACCTCCACACAAAAACACTCTTCTCGAGTTCGTCGACGAGACAGTTGGTACCAATGTGCCTAAACAGTTCATCCCCGGGATCCGACGTGGGTTCCTCGCCATGGCCGAAAAGGGGCTCCTTTGTGGACAGAAATTGGCCGGTTTGAAGTTCAGACTGCAAGACGGTGCGCATCACATTGTTGACTCCAGCGAATTGGCGTTCTTCCTAGCCGCGCAAGGGGCTATCAAGGAGGTGTTCGAGAGTGGAACCTGGCAGGTGCTTGAGCCGATCATGACGGTGGAAATAACAGCCCCCGATGAATTCCAAGGGAACATCATAACGCAATTGAATAAAAGACACGGGATTGTGACAGGGACTGAGGGCAAAGATGGCTGGTTTACCCTTTACGCCGAAGTTCCCTTAAACGAAATGTTCGGTTATGCGGGAGAGTTGAGGTCCAACACGCAGGGGAAGGGGGAGTTTTCGATGGAGTACAGTCGGTACTCCCCGTGTTTGCCCGAAGTACAGAATAAGTTGGTCGAGGAGTACGAAAGGAGTATGGGGATAGTGCCCGAGAAGGATAAGAAGAAGAAGAAGAATTAAGTTAGATTGTAATTCTAAGACGAATAATTTATTTCCAAGTAAAAAATATTTTATTGACTGACTAGATACAAGATAAATGAACTGTGCCTTAGAATTGCTAAAACCAAAAATGTAAAAAGTACCCAGTCTTTCGCACAGTTTAATGAATACATCCTTTGCGTATATACAGATAGGCTCTTCAAACACACAATTACGGCAAATTTCCTGAAAAATTCGACTAACCCCCCCTATGACACGTCAAATCCCAAAATCTTTGGCACAAAATCGGAAACTACCTCTGGCGTCGTTTTGATTTTTTATGGAATGGTCAAATCACCAGAGCCAGAATTATTGTCTAGCAAAAAAATTTCTAAAAAGCTTGTAGATTGAGCAACGGAATAAAACGGTTTTGATTCTCTCGTTGAAGGTTTCGTTCTTTGGATATATCTGAGATCAAACCTCCAACCCGATTTAGAATTTAATAACGCGGACCGCAGACTAAACGACACAGCTAACCTTAAGTACGAAAGAGAGCGAATTAAAAATTCTACAAAAAGATAAAACAATTCGAGTAAATATATACGAGTAAAAACTAAATTAAATACACTCTTTTTTTCTCTTAAATTACCGTCGAGATGGGATTGTGGAGAGGCGATCTGGGCGAGTGAAATCGCAAAAGTTCCGTCACTGTTATTGCTATTTGGACCAATCCTCTTCCTTCAAGGACATCAGCAGCACAACACACCACATTCTGAAAAACAAAACAAAAATGCTTTCTTTAAGAAATACTTTATTGGGTAAAGCCAAGTTGGATAAGTACAATTTTATATAAATATATTTCGCATAAAATTAACTGGGAAAAAATCAACTGAATTTTGTACTTGGAAAAATATAAAATACTCAAATTGTAACTTAATACTACTCCTTAGAAATACATAACAATTTTTGCACCTTGTTTCGATATAATCATAAAAATTATAAGAAAATCCTAAACCGACGTTAATGGAATCAAATATTTCAACAGTCTTTGTATGTAAATAATACTGGAAATATACACAGTGACTAGATATTCGATAGCAGCGTTAATACTGAATGAAGGAAGGAATACAAGATATACGATATGCAAAGCGTGGCTACAAGAAGAAAAACAAAACGAAAAAATACTGTTACACCCCTTTAAAAATCCGCATCAAAAATACCCCTCTTCCTAATCAAATACATAGAAAAAAAAACAGACTTTTTGATTATATAGGCACTGATTACTAAAAAATCACAATTGCCCCACCCCCAGCCCTCTCAAATCTAATTCGGCGGTGGAAAAGCGATAAGAAATGCAACAGTCGAAAAGAACAACATTAGTAACAGGAGTGAGACTGTGATGTCTTGCAGTGTCGGCGATGTCACTATAGTTGTCTTTACGTCAAATTCACAGAGTGCCGTTAGCGTATCCAGTAGGCGAGGCAGCCCCCTTCCTGGCAATGCTTCAGTCACGTCTAGGGTGCTGCACAGTCGCCCCTGCAATCAACCACAGTCTCACTCACTGCTTTTCTCGATGTGACACAGACACACTGGATTTTACTGGATGCTCGGACGAGATGATGTGTTAGTCGCAAGCGTGGCAAGCATCCAAAAAAATGCAGTTTTTTTATTGGTTAGAAGAAAGCAACTCACCTCGTCTACGCCTATCTTGCGGCATGCTTCGATGAAGTTGTCCACGTTTCGGCGACAGCGAGCCATCGTTAGCTTTGGCTGAAAAAAAATATTATAAATAATTATTGATAATTTCTAGGAAATCTTTACTGCAAGTGTAGAGATTTAAGCCAATATTTCTGGAATTTTTTAAGTCGAGCTCGAGATCGAAAATTTTTAGATCTAAGCCTAAGTGAGTCGAAGCGACACGAAAAGGCTCGAATCAACCCGAAATGTCTCGTGATGTGATGCGAAACGACCAAAAAATCTGCTTGACATTTTTTTACATTTTTACATAAAACATAATTAAATTAACAATTTGCAACAAATGATGATTAGTAGTGTTTAAATTTTTGCTTTTGCCAAATCTTCTCAAAAATAAGACGAAAAATCACCAAATTAGTTTAAAAAATATTTTAGTTTTATTTGTATTTTCTGAAATTTCTTCAGAGCGTCAAAAAAATTACTAAATTTCGCCGAAAAATACATTATTTGGTCTTTTCTGGAGTGTTTTAGTACGTTTTTCAGGCAGACACAGTACTATTTTGAAAAATTTCGTTAAAAGCAAACCGAAAATTTACCAAAGTAGGCCAAATTAGCGCTATTTTTGCATTTTTAGAGCGTTTTAGTACGTTTTTGAAAAAAATACAAAGTTTTTTCGAAAGCTTTTCATAAAACTACCTGAAAATTTACCAAATTATATTGAAATTGATATTATTGTAGCTTATTTCACTCAATTTAGTTGGTTTTTCAACCAGAGACTCATTTATTTTACAAGATTTGTTAAAACGTGGCTAAAAATTACAAAAATAAGTCTAAATTCACGTTATTTCAATTTTGAATGAAATTTTGTCAAAAATAAGCCCAAAACACAAAGTTTTCAAGTCTTTGAGCAAGTTTTTTACTATAGTCTTAGTTTTTTGCGATATTGTGCTAAAACTAGCCAAAAAACACCAAAATAAATCATTACTTTTGTCTTTTTCAAGTGTTTTAGCATGTTTTTCAGATAACAACGTAAATATTTCGTTAAAGAAAAAGCCAAAAAATACAGAATTAGACTAAAAATAGTGTAATTTTTGCCTTTTTCAGGGTTTTTGAGCAGATTTGCGAAATGTAAATTCGACAGTATTAGAAAAAAATTAAATCTGGAAACCTGGTGAAACTTTTTCACCACGGATCTCAAAATTTTATTTTTTGAGCTGGCAACACTGGTTCATTTCCAACTGCGTCCAAAAGTAAATTATTTTGGTCTTTTCCAGAGTGTTTTAGTACATTTTTCAGCCAAAAACAGAACTATTTTGCAAATTTTCGTTAAGAAAAATTCAAAATTTACCAATTTAGGCCAAAATTGGTGTTGTTTTTGCATCTTTTGAGTATTTCAATACGTTTTTGAAAAAAATCGAAAGCTTTTAATAACTAGCTGAAAATTTACCCAATTTGATTGAAATTGATATTATTTTATTTTGTTTCACTAATTTTGTTGGTTTTTCAACCAGAAACTCATTTATTTTGAAAGTTTTTGTCAAAACATGAGTAAAAATTCCAAAAATAAGTAAATTTTCATTCGATTCAGCTCGTTTTTGAGTGAAATTTTGCAAAAAATAAACCCAAAAACATAACAATTTCAAGTTTTTAAGCACGTTTATAAACTATAATATCTGTTACACAATCCAAAAAAAAAACAACAAAACGAGTCAATTTTTGACCAACAAAACTTCCTTAAAATAAGCCAAAAAATTACAGAGCTAGATCAAAAATATTGTTATTTGCGCCTTTTTGGGGCATTCAAGCTCGTTTTTGAGAAGATTTGCGAAATGTAAATCTTTGACAGTATTAGAAAAAATTAAATCTGGTAACTTTTTAAAATTTGGCAACACTCAATTCATTTCAATAATTGGTACTTACGACCGCCGGCGATGGTACATGAATGCTCGCCACCGACCTAGGTTTGATATGATTCGCTAAATGACACAGCACTACACCATCAGTCAAAGCAGGCGCTAAATCCTCCGGAAGAGTCATTTTCAATCGAGTTTCAATAATCTGCAAACAAAACAATAACAAAATTTAATCAAAAATAAAATCAATCAAATTTAATTACATTTCGCAACTGATTGATTAAATCGGTCTCCTCGCGCGCCTTATCAATTTCCCTCCTCATCGTGAACGTCATCTTCTCCACCGGCACGTCTTTATTCCAACTAATCGTTCGATTGGTCTTCACCCCGTTCAATCCCTTATTATCATTGGCTCCATTTATGTAAAGTCTCGGACTCCCATTACATCCTGGTACATTATCATGCGATAAAATTCCTGTTTTTACTTTAACCGGCGATTTCGGCTTGACATAGTCTTGGATGTATTTATTGCCGTTTTGTGTTTTGTATGGTGACGTCTTTTCCGGTTTTTTCGTGTCGTCAAAGACGTATTTAGCGCCGCTCAATACCGCATTGAGTGGTGTTGGGTCGGATTTAGACGTCGCCAAAGATCCATGTGCGTGATGGGTCGGTGTATTGGGTTCGGTTTTGTACGTTGTTTGATCGTCGGGGTTTTTCGTTCGGTAGATTGCAGGCACGTCGTGGGCCCTTTGTTGCTTTAAGGCGTCTTTATATTCTCTGAAAAACAAAAATGTCGATTGAAATAAACTAATCAAAGTAATTCCACATCAAAACGATCACTTTTAAATCTCATTGTTTCCGATTTTCGTAAATTTGAGATATGTTATAGAACACAAAAATTAAGTCTGTTTTTTTTTTTAATGGAAATTACCAAGTCAAAATTTTGGTAAAAAAATTGGTAGCAGCTTGTCTCCATAGCCACAAATTTTGTTTGCTCTTTGCTTTTGACCCTAGAAATTTTGTTAGAAAATTATGGTTATGTTTTCAAATTGAGATCTTGTCAAAATTTTGACTTTTATGAATCTTGTGTGCCTGTTTGCTCTTTGAAAGTGCTACAATTGAATACTTGAAAATTCAGTGCTAATAATTTTGATAGAAACACACCGCAAGTAAGTACAATGTTGTGAAGAAAAATGAGGTTCTTGCTACAAAAACTTTAATGAAAAAGGATATACAGTATGATGAAAAAAAGGCGCCCGTGTTAACCCACACGTAAGTGATCTTTTATTAAAGACTATTTCGAAGACCAAAATTGGATTTGTGCTCTTATCAGTAAAATATAGACTTTCCTTTTTAGCAAAGAGAAATCTATTTAATTAACAGTTTTAAAATAATTTTATTGTTAAAGTCTAGATTTTGATACAGTTGACGGTGTTCTTAAAAAAAATGTGTAAAAAAACTATTGAAATAAACTTTATTGAAGATGTTAGGATACCATTTCTTGGCTCCGAAGAAAATTTATCAATGTTGCAACATTGCAAATATCCTAGTATACAGAAAATGTCCAAGTAATATTCAATTATTGGAAACGGTAGCAACAAAAAAATCAATTTTCAATGTTGTTTGTTCTGTGAAATTTGAACGATTAAAGTCAAAAAGGTTTCCTAGATACGAAATATACCTGAGTGAAATAGTTTTTTAGTGAAAGAAATTTGTGCAATATTGCCGCTTTGTGCTGTTAGACAAACTGTTTAAATTTTAAAAAGAATCTATTTAGACTATTTTTGGAATGATGGCCACAATGTTTTAATAAAAAAGGACGCGCCTGTTTCAATCGTGGGCGCCTTTTTTTCATCACCTGTATATACAAAAAAAAATTAGAAAAAGATACAAGTAGGTATTATGATGAATGGCAATAAATTTTGTGTAATTTATTGAAATGAGCTCAAAGTTGAGATGCATTTTATAAATTCTTCTTCCGCTTTAGTTTCAAAATTGTTACTTTTTCAACTCGTTCCTCAAAAACGATGCACAAGACCATAATTTAATTGCGTTCTTTCCGAGGTTCTTTCTCATTCATGTTTATTTTGTATTCAAGTCAATTTCTTGCTAAAAATTGAGAATGTTTAGCAAACCTGCATTAAAAATTGTGTCTACATTTTAACGGGCCCTTTTTCTAACTTTCTGCTTGCGAACTATTCGTTTCCAAATTTCTAAAAACTGTTAGTAGTACCGAATTTGTTCCTTTTTTGGTGTTTCGTCTCCAAATTTTCTTAGACGATTTTTTGTGTTGACGTTTAATGACATTGTTTTCAAATTAATTCAAAAACCGGAACTGCCAACTTCCTTTATTAAAATTTCCATCAATGAATTTACTAGTAGTGCCAACGTTAAGACTGTTTGGCACAGACTTTAAGTGACACGTAATTCACCGTTTTTTATTTTTTCAATGTACACTTGAGTGCAAAAAAAAACGCAAATTGTCAAATTTTTATTATTTAGTATTTGGTGATCTTGGCAATGCAGTGTCATAGTCAATGTTAAAACGAAATGGAAAAACATGAAACATCTTGATATAAGTTTGGAAGATGCCTGACAATTATGAAATTGTGACAAAGGAAACATAAAAAAAACTGGCATTTATTAACAGGCCAAATTACATTATAAAAAAAAATCTATTTGCGTTTTTTTGCAGTACCTCGTAGCAAGAATAAATTATCTTAATGGTGATTTTTCCTTACTTGTAAGTTTGTATTTGGTGCAGTGGCTTGACCACCTTCTCCTCTTCGTTGTTCCCATTACAACCCTCGCTCGGACTCTCAACATCGTCGTCGTTCTCGGGGGCAGGAGACGCCGTCGACGGCGTCGACAAAATCGAATGCGTCCCATTTGTCGACAACGGCGTCGACATCCAACTCTTCTCTTCCATATCCTGACTCCATCTCTTCTCAAATCCATCACTACTCGTACTATACCCACTATCCACATTCTGTCTTTTATGTTTCAACCTATCGACCATCAATGGTGGTCCTGGTGACGACCCAGCGCCACTTTTCCTCGACTTTCGACCCAGTGTCCCTCCACCTGTCTTCCTATCCAACCTCATCGCTTCATTATCCAAATATTTGAAAATATGGACACGACCACGTCGACATAGACTCGCCGGTGGACTCGTCAAAGGATTATCCTCGACGTGGAGTTCAATCAATGTGGCCATATCCCGGATCTCGATGGGGAGTGTACCAATGCGGTTTGCCCTCAGGTCCAGCCTTACGAGTTTCAAAAAGGTCACTTCAATGGGCACGGCGAGGAGGAGGTTATTACGGAGGACTAGCGACTGGAGAGAGCGGAGGTCACCCATACGAGGGGGTAAATGGGTCAGTTGATTACAAGAAGCGTCAAGTTCCATCAAGTGTGACATACGATTAAGTTCGTCCGGTAATTGGGTGAGATTGTTGTTCGAAACGAGAAGAATCTAATAAACGAGGCGTTAGCCGAGTCCAATATTGAGACATTTATACGTACTTTGATCGGAAGTTGGCACAACTCGCGTGGAAGTGAAGTCAATTGATTTCGACTCAAATCGACGTAAATTAAACATTGCAAATTGATTATGCTATCGGGGATGTAGCGAATTGCGTTGTGATAACATTGGAGTTTTTCTAAAAAATGGAACGTTGTTACTTCTTCGGGGAGTTCGCTGAAGCGGTTTTTCGACAAGTCTGAAACAATACCAAAGTCGCACACACAATTTTTTCTATTTTGAGGCAGGCAGAACAATGGAACATTCATATCATTCAAAAAAAAATCGTATGGTTGATTTGTCTTGAATATTAATGAAGACACGTCTCCAGAGACTGGAAGTTATTTATAAACGACGTAAGAATCCGTTTTGTAATTGAAAAATAGCCATGAAAATACAGTTTTCCAAATGTAAAATTGTGTTATTTAATTTCTAAACATAACGCCAAGGAATGAAAAATATAAATTGGCACAAAACCAGAGTTGAAATTATTTATATCTCGGCTTTAACAATTCTGATTTTCAGATTTAGAATCAGCACAGCAAACAAAAAACATTTGCAGACCTTTATTATTTTTATTCGTTACAACAATAAGCATTTGATTATCTATAAAATCATTATTGGGAACGTTGAAAATATTTTTATTGCTTCTCGAAACGTCCTTCATAATGTATCATTTCCAGTTTTTCAACCAAAAAAAGAACAGTGCAGGTAATTCTTTATTGAACAAGCGCAAAAAAGTGTCTGCTACACGTGAACCGCGTTTGAGCGTCAAGCGCAATAACCCCTTTTTTACACAGTCTGTATCAAAAACAAAAATATAAATAAAATATTTTAACCGCAAATATCACAAAAGTGACCACTAAATCACAAGTAAAAGTTTTACCATTCAGCCAAGGAGAAAAAATTTTATTTTTGCGCCTAAACGTTTTTACTTTTACTGTGACAATAATGACATTTACCAATGGCTCTTTCGGTGCTTCAGCAATTTCTAAATTGTAGATTATCAGCACTCGACATTTTGCACTAGTTAAATTAAGAAACACTTTTGAAAATCCCAATACCAATTCCTGACACGTGATGTTTGTTTATAAGTGTTGTTATGATTATATTACTTGCAAAGCGTCCTGATTATTTCGTTCGTTTACTTGCTAATTATAGTGTTGCTCTTTACTCTCAATCTGATTTGGTTTGCAAATAAAATAATACATGTTATTCGGAGTAAAAGTGACTCAGCCGAATTATTTACCTCACTATGTTTGTTCAGCTTCGCCACATAAACTATCACTTTTCATCTTAATACCTTAATATTGGAGAAATAATAAAAGTCTTAAATTAATTTCTCTACAAAAAATCTAAATTTATTGAATCAGAAGAAATTAACAAAAAATTTGATCTGAGATTATTACTTACAAATGCACGCTGAGTGTAAGATCAAAGAGATTTTATAATTAGCTCAATTTCATGTTTATTTTGATTTGACAATAGAAAAATCGTAACTTTTGGGCACATGTGCAGAAAATTGCACGGTAACCACGACAACCAGACGTGACAAAATTAATGATTCCGATAGTGTTTCAAAGTTTCCTGCTGTTTGAAAACTTTTCAACAACCCGCAATCATATTTCCTCGCAGACTCATAATTGGATTTGGTAATAAATAACAAGTCGCAAACACTTTCATTCGAGTTATTGAACATAAATTAAACCAGTCGTTTAGAAAGGCCGTCGATTGAAATTATCTCATCAAGGTTAACTAACCCCAGTAATTCTAATTGTCGTTTGTTTCGCTTATCACAGAGATAAACGTACTGGGAACAGAAAAAATGATAATATAAATATAGTCGTGGCTTTCCCCTTTATCGTAAATCCCTCTGTTGACATTTCTATATTTGTATTCAATTTAACATTTAAAATGGGGTGAACCCACAGCTGGCCCCACGTCGGGCGCCGAATCTTTCTACAATTAAACTTCAAACGGACGCAATTAAACAAATCAAAGCTTCGGAGAAGTGGCAAGATAGTTAATCAAAATTCATAATTTTCTGAATAATACAAGATTCGATTTGAGTCTCATGTTTAATGGAGAGTTTTGCTAGTTTGTGATGACAACGTTGATGTAAACCTAAAACGTGTTTAAGTAAACACAAATTTAAATACGAAAAAAATATGTCATGCTAAAAAATTCCAGATTTATAGTTCAAGTCTTGATTGTCGTCCTTGTATTTAGTGCGAAATTATGCGTCACTAACAAATTTGTAAAACAAATGTAACGAAGGAAATATGTGTCTATTTATAGTTGACACATTTAACAAGTCTTTTTTGATTGATAATTTATTTAACAATTAAAACAAAAATTGTATTACACTTAAATGGTAAATACCTACAGGCTACAGGTTTAAAATCCTCTTTGATAACCAAAGTTATTACAAAAGTAAACAGTTCTGCGGTATTTAGGGCGTCACTGTTGATAAACCAAGCCCAAACAAGAAAACCGAAAGGTCATCCAAGAAGAGAAAAAGTTAACTTGCTGGAAATTTATTAAACATTTGTTCATCAAAGAGAAGTTGTTATCATTTTAAACAACTCTCTTGAGAGTGGCACTTGCTTTCAAGAGGCTCAACTTTTGATTTTATCTGAACTTCTTCACCAAACATGAAAAAATTTTCTCATCAGAAACCCTTTCAAACGAGGGGATACAAGGATCGATAACCATTTACTTAAATTTTTAACGTTTCTATTAATCGCAGCGAAACTCGACGTTTTCATTCACTTCAAGAAGCAGTTGCTTGAACCCGTCCTATTTCTGGTAGCAAATCGCTGCAACTCTTAGGTAAACACAAAAAAAAAAAAAAAACAAACACCCGACACATCATACAGAAATTATGAGCCGTTTTAGCGATTATTACTCGTAAAATGTGCATATTTCGGTTAGAAAAGTCACATCTTCGAACATTAAAAACTCGTAAAACCAACGATGTTTACATTTTTCCAAATTTATTTATGCTGAGGTGACACCGGAAATAGTAGATTACACACCGAGGTGGAAAGTATGACCGTTGCGTCAAGGTTAACTGTATACACTTTCATTGACAACCTCATTTTTAATTACATAAAGTTCTTTAAAAAAGCAAAAAACTGGATAAAAAACAAGGTAGGTAATAGGTTTGTCACTTCCTTACCCTTCGTCAAGGTTGGAAAAGTCAACATTACATATACGGTTGTGAATAAAAAAAATTCCAAGAGCAAATTAAATAAAAATTGCACTTTTACTGTGAGGAAAGAAAAAATTGCCCCCTAAATATTATTTCAAAGAAGCATGATTTAATAATGGAAGAATGTGAACAAGTACGGAATGTTTCCGGCGATTTTTGGCACGTGTTGAATTTCATTTATGGAAGTTTGAAATGCGACGAGATTCAAACTCATCAATATTGAACCGAAAACCGTCCTTTTACCGCACTATTTTCGCCAATGTTGACCTTTGACATTGATTTCCCGTCTTCCAAGTCGTCAAGGCTGTTATTCATTTCCTATTATCACGAAAATAATCCTTGAAACACACTGTTTATCGTCTTTTATAGTGCAATAACACAAAGTGTATACAATTTTAAAACGATGGGAAAAAAACAACAGACGTCACGCTTCCAAGCCCTAGAACAACTCGAAAAGACAATGAGGGGAAGATTAGACGGTCATTTCCTCTCCGTGACATGCAACAACGACCCCTTCGTAGTCAAAAAATACAACTTTGACATTATTGTCAAATTTGACAATCACATGTGTCGTTGTCATAGCAACCGGTCACGTAGTCCTGACAACCATTGTTTAAATTGACAAAATGAATTTGACAATCACATGTGCCGTCGCCTTGACAACCATTCAATTGTTTAAATCGTAGGCAACTAGAAATGTGATATTAACTGGAAGTTGAGGCGAATGAAAGTGAGCTTTATCTCCGCTTCCGTCGTTTTATTGATGACTGACTTTATAGCAGTTGCGGTAACTTTTAAACAAACAACGGTTCGATTCATGGGCCCCTTATCGGGGAAGATAACATTTGTAAGTGGAAAAAGTAAAATTTTACCTGCTACAACGGTATCACGTAAATTGTACTTTTCACTGGTTTTGGGGAAGTCTTTGAGTTTTCGGTTGCTCAACTTGAGCTCGCCACTTTGGTTCGCATCGTCGAGGATCTTCTCCAGCGAGCGCGTTAACTGATTTTGTATGTGTCCGTTTATATTTTGAACCAACATTGCCATGATGCATGGCAAAAGCGCCAACACGAAACCGGCTTTTCCGCGACTTTTCCACACACTTTTCACACAGCTTTTCCACTCATGACATCATGAGAGACAAGGGCGAGGTGTTTATCTCATGCAGAGGGCGCTGCAGCGTCACCATCGACGAGAAAACCGAATAGATGGCCGATGAACGAGCTTTATTACACAAAAAGGCGCTTCACATTGAACCTAATCGGTATTAATCTTGTCACTCTATGTATTAATCGTCAAAAAACCTAATTGAACTAAGACAGTGTCTCTGTAGGCCACATTTTAAACAAGTTCTCACTCTAGTTTATCACAGTCTGTAGTTACTAAGCCAACTATTGAGGATGAGTTTTGTTATCATAAATGCAATAATGCAGTTTTAATCGATTCAAAATGTGTTTGTGAGTCATTTTTATGGTTTTATCTGATAAATGCCCCCATATGTGCCGGTATTTCGCATAGAAAGCCCCAATTGTCCGTGCAACGTTGACGTATCTGTCATCTGTCAAATCGAGTGATTAAATTCGAAACGTCAAAATTTGTATGTTTGAAATGACATTATTTTCTCCTTATCAGAAAGATCCACCAGTGTAACAAAGAACTTTCGCGATATAATGTCGATTTAGTGTCCATTTCGCGTGAATAAATCGAAAAAATGGGAATATTTGGAACCACAAGCGACACCATCGCGGACGAAGTAGGTGAGTCATGTCCCAAATCTTGTTTTTCATCGATTATTTATTGTGAGTCACGCTGTAGAAAAGGCAACGCACGAGAACAACAGTGAGGAGAACTGGGAACTCATCATCAACATTTGTGATAAGGCTGGCAAGTCGCCGGAGGACGCCAAGGCGTACCTGAGGGCTGTCATCAAAAGGCTGCACAGCCAGGACCCCCACATCGCCATCCAAGCCGTCACGGTGAGTTTACGCGTGTGTGGAGCCCCCCTAACCCCGAATTAGTTGCTAGACGCCTGTGTCAAGAACAGCGGAAAGTTGTTCCACGTCGAGGTCGCTTCCAGGGAGTTCGAGAACGAGTACACGAAACTGCTGCAGAAGTCGCACGTTAACGTGTCGAGGAAGTTGAGGGAGGCCTTGAAACGGTGGGCCGAAAACGAGTTCAAAACCGATCAACAACTCAACCTTATTCCTTCGCTTTATACAAAGTTGAAAAACAGCGGAGTTGACTTTACTTTTGCGGACATGGTAAGTGGCAAATTGTGCAATTGGGGTCTTGATTGTGGGTGTTTAAAGCCGGCGAAGAAATCCACTCCTGTCAGTAAAGACCCCAATGTTGTTGAATCCCAAGAAGAGGAGAATCAAATCTTGAAAGCCATAGAATTGTCATTGAAGGAAAGCTCCTCATCGTCGCCGCGAGCGTCCTCTGCGAGTGGGAGTCTCTACCCCAGTGCCAATCTTGCGGCTGCTAATAGTTCAACAAATTCAACTCCTGTCAAAGAACCGAAGAAAGTCAGGGCTTTGTATGATTTTGAAGCAGCTGAAGACAACGAACTCACCTTCAAGTCGGGCGAAATAAGTGAGTTTGGTGCGAAAATCGGTCAAAATAACTGTTTTTCCAGTTTTTGTGATAGATGATTCTGACCCGAATTGGTGGAAAGGGAACAATCAAAGGGGCGAAGGGCTTTTCCCCTCGAATTTTGTCACGAAAGACTTGGACGTTGAACCTGAGAAATTTTGTAAGTATTCAAATTTGTTGATTTTATTGGGTTTAAGGTTACTTAAATGTTTACTTTTTCCAGTGTATGAGAAGGCGAAGAAGATCGTGCAGTTCAAGGAGACAGTGGAGGTGAAACCCACCCCCGAAGACATAGAAATCAACGAGGAGAAAATCGACCGTTTGTTGCACCTCCTCCATGAGGCCGACCCAACGAATCCGGAGACGGACACCGAAGAGATGTTAAAATTAGAACGCGAGGTGAACCTCATGGGCCCCCTTATCGATTCCGAATTGGAAAGAGTGGACAAGAAACACGCCCAATTGACCCAACTGAGTGCTGATCTGGTCGAAGCTCTCGGTCTTTATCATTCTCTGATGCGTGAGCCCCAATTCCCCCCCAAGATGCCTTACAATTATCCACAACAGCCCCCGAATTCTATGACGTACAATGGTTTGCCGCCGCAGCCACCGATGGGGATGGGGGCGCCGTTGCCCCCTCCGCCAGGCATGCATTATGCGACAATGCCGATGATGTCGACGGCGGGGATGCCGCCGCCACCGCCGCCGCAGTTTATGATGCATCAAATGCCGGATGATAGGAGGTGAGCTGTGATTAGAGATAAATTGGAAGATTTTAATGTTGTTTCAGGACTCAGAGCTATGGGAGTATGGTGCCCCCGAATTTTCCAAGCAGTGTTGCCGGATCTCAGACTCTTATTCACAACGGACCCCCACCGCAGTCGCAAAGTCAACATTACATGCCTCCTCCAAAGTAGGAGGCCGTGGAAGTATTGTTATCAGATTCTTTTCCTTATAACCGATATGTGATTTAACAGTTTAGTTATTTTGATAATATCATGTATTTTATTACGGATTTCTTCACTATCTTTGTTGTTTTAGTTTATTTATTCATGAAAATTGATATTAAGTTACTTGCAGGTGTATGGAGGGAAGGTAGTGAAGAAATTATTATAAGTAATCTTGTAGACTTGATGTAAAGAGAAATATGTATATGAATAAATTTTATGAAGAAATTTAAGTCGTTTTATTGATAAATCATTTATGTAGTGTACCAACGTTAACAGTCAAGTGATAAACAAAATGTCATTTAAAAAATAAATTATTTTCCACAAACCATACTTAGGAAAACAGTAGGACGCAAAGTCGATTTCAGCGCATTAGATGAGTGTGTCTTTTTAATATTATTTATTTTTTCTAATAATCATTTGCCTTTTGTACCCGAAATTCTCTAAAAATTTTGAGCGCAAGTCTTTGTTTTGCATTAAAACAAATAAAAACCCAAAGTTTCTTGTTATTTACACAAAAAATGCACTCAAAAGCCATAAGGTCACTACTTATAAGCTTTGGAAGGCTAAGTGGTTTTTTGACATCCGACAAAAAATTAAAAAGCCTTTCTCGTGCTATAGCAAATTATTCTTACCTTATTAAAGCAAACAATGCAAAAGTTAGCATTAAAATATTTAAAAATTAAACCACTAATGAATCTTTTAACAAAATTATGAGCGTCCTTGAAATTGAAAAATTATGTAGTGAAATAAAGGCTACCAACGTTAACTGTCATTGGGTGGAAAACAAAATTGTTTTCAATAAAATAGTGAAAGCAAAAGTAAATTCTGGGTCATAAAATCAAATTCACAAATTAGCTAACTGTATTTTCTATTTTATCTGTTATAAAATAATGAATTGTCTACCAATTCCTAATTTCAAAACCCCCTAGAGTTTGAAAATTTAAAGCGGCAGTCATTATTGTTTTGAATGAATTAAAACAAATAAAAACCAAGTTTTAAGTATCTTATTGATCATTACTGTTATACATATGTGTATGCTTGGTTGCATATTGTAGATATTTGTATATAATAAACTTAGTCTTAAGCTGACTCTTAAGTTGATTGCATGGTGCT